TCACCTGTGTCAATGCGAGAATAAAAGAAAAATGTTAAGATCAAACCATCAATAAAAACCACAAAGGTGCAAATAAAAGACAATGACAAATTGGTGAAATAACCAAAAGCTATAAAACCAGTAGTAAATAATGATTCTGATAATATTACTTTGATTGATACATGTGTGAGCTGAGATGCTGTTCTCCATCCTGAGCCGATGAGCTGGATGAGTTACCTGGAGCTCATCCTGTCAGACTAGTCTGATGAATGAAGCCTCTCACGCACAATGACCCACCCAAGCAAAACTCATTGTTTAGTAGATGTGGTGAGAAGCACACACAGCCAATGGATAAAAGTACAGCAGCTCATTCTGACAGTTTCAGGATACTTTGTAAAGACGTATTGGACTTTTTGGAACTCTAATGGTTTTGAACTTGTAGCTTTGTAATGTTAGGATTTGATATGTTTGTTTGTTTTTTGTCATTTTGGGGTTGGTTTTATAATTTCCAATTTTTTATTTTACTTAAAGGTCCAGTGTGTAAGATTTAGGTGAAAGGGAACTATTGGCAGAAATTTAATGTACAATAATCCTCATGATGTTTTCAATAGTTCGTTTCATCTAAATTGTACAAATTTAATTTTTCTTTACCCTAGAAAAGGCCATTTATATTTAAATACTTTATATTTACACAAACCCTTTGAGCCTCCACAGAGAGGACCCCCCTCCATGTAAACGTAAAGTTTTTAAATACAAGGGGACCGTTCTGTGGTGAAGAAACCAACAATTCATACAATTTAGATGAAACACACCAGTGAAAATATCATTAGGATTATTTCATATTCAATTCCTGCCAATAATTCCTTTCACCTAAATCTTACACACTGGACCTTTAAGTTACAAGTTTAATCTTGTGTTGCTCACTCCCTTTACTTCCAGTCTGCCTGTTTTCCCACACCTGTGCACCCTAACCTTCTTTGTCAGTTCATCCATCAGTTTAGCTCTGTTCCCTCTAGCTTGGTTCAGTTCAGTCCTGTTTTGTCCCTGTTTGTTTCCTGCTTGTTTCCTGAATTGTGTCTGTTTTGCTGCTGAGTTGGAAGTTTAGTTTCCTTACTTTTCTTCTAGTACACTTTAATGTCAAAGACTGTAAGCTTATTCTTGCTAAATAATCTTGTTCCTCCTGCCTGCAATTTGGGTTCACTTAAAATCCACATCATCACAGTCAAATAGAAATTACTAATCAGAATGCCCTAGTTTGATTGTCAGTTAAAGTTTGAAACACCTGAAAATTAAAACAACCCTATTTAAATTAATTTCTCTTTCGCTGATTGACAGCAGACATTAGACAGCTGGTTCCCCAGCCTGCGTTCCCAAGTGTCCTTGAGTAAGACACTGAACCCCAAATTGCAGCTGAAGGCCGTGCCAACAGTTTATGAATGGTGTGTGATAGACAGAAGTGCTGCATATGGGAGCTCTGTATGCATGTTTGTGTGAATCAGTGAATGCATCTTGTATTATTAAGCTCTTTAAGTGGCCAATAAAACTAGAAAGGTGCAATATAAATACAGTCAGTTGAATATAATTGAATTTACCTGTAGAAGACCAGTTTCTCCACCAGAAAAATTCCCAGGTACTTCTCTGTGTGTCCTCCAGAATATGTTCACCTGTAAGACACACTGCTTGTGTGTACTTATTGGTTGATCAGTCTGAGCAGTCGCTCTGTTCGTCAGCTCACACTCATCAGGGCATTTCTTTCTTCTGCTGACTTATAAGAAGTTGTGCGAGCTTCTCATCTCTTCTGGACTCGCTCACTGCATTGATCTCAATTCCAGTATACATTTATGCAGAGACTCCAGCTGAATCGAGATGCTGCTGCCAGGCTATAGCACGCATTAAGAGAAGAAACCATATTACCCCAATCCTTGCTGCGCTTTGCTGGCTTGCTGTGGGTTTGAGAACTGATTTTAAGCTTTACTCTTTATCTTTTAAGCTTCGATTCTAATCTAATCATTCATTGATCTTGATGGAAAAATCAGGCATGTTTAGGGGACATTGATTCAATCTGAGGATCCAAATAGAAATCTGTATCTAGTGGATTTAAATGTGCTTTCATAAGGGGACTGTTGGGCCTTAATGGAAGCAATGTATGTCCTCTACTTCAAGCCTTGTAAATGTGCACATTGAAATTGCAGATGAATAATTTTTATTTGTGTATTTGAGAAGTGCTATACAAATAAATAATTCCTATCTGATACATAAATTGAAATGTTTAACTCTAAACTAGAAATAGCATTTCACTGTGTCCCACCAGGAGAGGTCAGGGGATCGTCACAGTCTTTACGAAGCACTAACTGGACACCATGTATGTGATTCCAAAATTTCATGGCAATCCATCGAGTACTTGTTGATATGTTTCAGTTTGGACTGATGGAGTGATGGCTCTTCATGTTGTAGTGGATAGTGGTGGTGGTTCAGGATCGTGGTGGCAGCTGCTTGTGGACCATTAATACAACAAGACTGCTATGACATACAATACGCCTACTGACATACTCTACCATTATTGGCAATAACTCATATGT